AGAAGTGACACCAACCTGTCCGAGGGCAGGGGAACCATCAGAGTGGCTCAGTCCTCGTTTCCAACAGCACTGATTGTTACTCAATATTTTGAGAATTCAAACATTATTCAGCATTTGATCCAAGAAACCTCCCCTCCCCGGGCTCAACCTCTGCTCTGCGAGAGAAGGTACCTGCATTGCCCTGACCCCCCCCAAGTCCAGCGTCCCCGAGCGTTGAAATACTTTTGTCTCCTGAAGAGACGATGACTGCGAGACAAGGACAGCAAAATCACTTCTTATTTTGTGAACTTTTGTCTCTTGTGCTTGAGAGACTGTCCTAATCTCCCCTGAACATGTTTTAGTGATAACATTTACTGCACTAGGACCAAAATGATTTTCTGTCACTTCTAATTCCAGTTCAATAAAAGTATAAGAGCTTTGTTTCTAACCTCTGTCATTTTTAATACAGTAAAATGGTTTAAAAAAAATGTAAAATTGAGTTCCATTTCCTACTGGACCAGCGAGCCCATGTTAGCTCCACTCTGATCAAATTTAAAGGGGGGGGCGGAATACCAAAAAGATGCTTTGCTTTTTCTTTTTTTTTTAGCATAAGGAAACAGTCAAAAATTCTAATCTCATCAGATGAGGATGTGTCTTTAATCTCATGCTTTGATCATTTTCACTCTGGAAAGGCTTGAGCAGAGAATGAAAGTTAGTTTAAAATTTAATCGGGAGTGGGGGGAAGATGGTCTTGTTCTTTATGGAAGATGAAAGAGTAATGATCTAATTCCTTCATCTGCCACTGACTGCATGAAAATCTTGAATAAATTACCTATCTCGAGAGCTGAGAAGGCACCCACATACAATGCGGCAGTATTTTCAGTATGTTCACTTACAGTATTTCTTTCTTTTCCCCCTTGAAGAGAGAAGGGGGGGTAGGGATGACTTTCAGCACCGGTATTTTCCCCACCCCTTCCCACAGGTAACTTCAGCCGTAGCTACACAGTGAGTTATACTTTCCCCAGTTTTCAGAAGCAGCCAGAATATTCTTTTTTGTTCCTGCATTACCCAAGAAATGCAATTATTTGGGCAAAATACCCATTTTACTACAACAGCAATAGGGCTACTTCATATATATCTCTAGCCCTAAGTCACATGCATGCTTCTACATCAAGCATAAAGCACGTTTCTGTGCAGCGGAGGAGGAGGAACTCAGCTGGCGGGCGAGGCTGGTCGTCTTGGGCCATTCTCCAAAGTACAGAGCTTGAGGCCAATCCTGATTTTTGTTCCCAATTAAGACAGTACTAACTGACAAGCGCGTTACGCCGTTAGCACGCCCTGTCTGCAGGTTACAGGCAGTTATAAAACATTTTGTTCTTTAGCTTTGCAGGAGGTTTACTCTGAAAGTCCAGTCATTTCTCACAGCAAATAATTTTTTTAAATTGTAACTGCTCCATACACATCCCCCCTTGAACCGGACAGTGTAAGTTAGAAACCAGAGGTCTAATCCTTATTCAACAGCATCTTTATTTTGAAGATTGTTGTGCCTTGAGATTAGATTTGACATTTTTCATCCTTAATCAGCAATTTTTAGATCCAACAAACACCAGGAGTAAAAGCTTCCCATTAATTTTCTTACCCAGAAAGTTTGGGAATAGGCAATAGTTTGGGTGATATCATAATTGTTCCTTTTAAGCACTTTTTAAATAAAGTTCCTATCCACCAGCTGCGGGTGGAACCCCCCCAAGAAGAGAACCAGTTAAGGGAAAGCATAGCAAAGAGTTTTCAGCCAACAAGGAAGGTCCAACGTACATCAGACCTTAAGAAAGTGAAGGGACGTGGAAGGAAAACTCTTGTCAAATTATTAACTAGCTTCAGCCAAACGAGCTCACAGAGGAATCTATTGAGAATTTTGATGCGAAACGTGAAGTGAGGAACTAACCCAAAAATATCTGATTTCCATTACAAAGCCAAAGAGCAAGTGTTGCACTGCCAATGCTTTAACAAAAGACATCCTAGAAGTATTTCCCCCACATGGTTCGCAACAAACCACCCACCTCTCACCTCATCGGTGCATATTTGGGGCCAGACAGGAAGAGATTGCAGATTTGTTCTGCTGAAAACACAAACTGTTTCTCATGATTGTATAGCCTTTGAGGTTACGCACTCAACAAGCAAACATCAGAGGGACTTGCTTTTCTGGAAATGTTTATGTTCTTTGCTCCTGAAAAACATACAGATCCCAGTTCTAATTCATCAGCCTACTAGTAGCAGTGTCTCCAACTGGACCCAATCAAAATTGCAACGCAAATGTGTAAACAGACCTCAGAGGGTGAATTGTCATGAGAAAGAGTAGACGAAAACACTGTTGCCACGCTGGGAAGGGAAATTAAGTCAGAGAGCAGGCAGATTTGCCAGAAAGATTCATTCCTAGCAGGAACCCACTGTCCTTACAGCCTGAGCCAGAACCAACGTTTCTCAGTGGCTGGTCTGTGAGGACCAGAGCCTTCTGCTGCCTCCCAGAGCCAGGACTTGGTCTTCAGAAGTGAAAGATCCTTCCAGGACCTTGATCACAAATCTTATCCTTGCACTGGTTTATCACAGAAGCAAAACTGGAAACAACCCCAAGAGCATCAGTTAGGCACTTGTGAGGTTTGAAAATAAGCCCTCCTGGATCCTACCCTTGCTAGCCATCCTGTACAATGGATTCACTTTCAACAAAGTAGAGTTTGCTTTTCGTAGCTCTTTTACTCAAAAGCAGTCAGCTGGGAACAGTGATGCCGCCAGGCCAGACCAAGCAGGACTCCACTCCTTGCAGATGCATGACAACCAGCAAAGAAGTTACTCAACACTCAGCAGCAGCGCTTAAACCAGGGAAACCCAGAAACATCCCCTCTCATTGCAAGAGAAGGGGCAAATTAAGCCCTGGAACATGCAAAGAGGAAACTACCCCTGATCAGTACTATTCCTGCCGCATTAGATTTGCGCTTTGGTATGAGCACAAGACTTGTGTTTTCTTGCAGCACGAGGCAATTTGGTTTTATGCCTCCATTTCCAGCCTTGGCACAAAACTCAAGCAGCAGATCTACCCCAGGTCTCTGGTCTTCTGTTGCATGGGGGTGCATGTGCCACAAATCCCATCAATGCACAGAAATCCAGTGAAATACATGATTAACACACTCCCTCCTCCCATCCACAACTTGAGTTTGCTGCCCAGCATCCCCTGCTTGCAGCAGGTCCCAGAGCTGAAGGAGTCAAACCAGATCCATTTGGGGCTAGAAGCAAAGATTGCCGTCTGAAATCTTATGGTCTGTATTGTGCAGGGGGTCAGACTTGATGGTTATAATGGTCTCGCTGTAGCTCTAAAGTCTGTAAAAGTCTAAACCCCACTTTCCTCTCAGACTCAATTTCA